AAAAAAGAGCAGGAGTGGCAATATTAATTTCTGATAAAATAGATTTTAAGGTGAAAAACAACATAAGAGACAAAGAAGGTCACTATATGATGCTGAAAGGGTCAACTGACCAAGAAGTCATTACAATAATAAATATCTACGCACCCAATGAAAGTGCTCAAAAATATGTGAAGCAAATATTAGTTGACTCAAAAGGGACAACAGACAACTCTATAATAGTAGTAGGAGACTTTAACACATCACTTTCAAGGAGGGACAGATCAACGAGAAAAAAACCCAACAAAGATACATAAGAACTCAACAACACAATCAACCAACTCCAACTCATAGACATATACAGAGCATTCCACCAAACAAAAGCACAATTTACATTCTTCTCCAGTGCACATGAATCCTTCTCCAGAATAGATCACATGTTAGGACATAAAACAAGCCTCAATAAATTAAAAAACACTGAAATACTACAAAGCACCTTCTCAGACCACAATGCTATAAAATTAGAATATTAGGAAGACCAAGGAAAAACATCAAACATGTGGAAGTTGAACAAAACACTGCTCAAAAACTACTGGGTAACAGAAGGAATAAAAATATTCCTAGAAATAAATGAGAATGAAGATACATCATACTAAAACCTATGGAACACAGTGAAAGCAGTTCTCAGAGGTCAGTTTACAGCAATAAATGCACACATCAAAAAAGAGGAAAGAAACAAAATTAACACTCTAACTCAACAATTCCAACAATTAGAAAAAGAACAAAAAAGCATCCTACAAATATCCAGAAGTAAGGAAATTATAAAGATCAGAGCAGAATAAATGAAAGAGAAGACAAAAAAAATAGAGAAAATCAACAAAACAAAAAGCTGATTCTTCAAAAAGATTAACAAAATTGACAAACCATTGGCAAATCTAACAAAAGAAAGTAAACAGAAGATGCAAGTTACAAGAATAGTAAACAAAAAGGGTGTCATCATAACAACCTGAAATAAAAAAGATACTGACAGAATATTATGAAAAACTGTATTCCAACATATTTGAGAACCTAGAAGAGATGGACAAGTTTCTGGAAACACAAGACCTACCTAAACTGTCCCACTCAGAGATAGAATACTTGAACAGACCTATAACAAAGGAAGAAATGGTCATAAAAAAAAAACTTCTGACAAGCAAAAGTCCTGGCCCTGATGGCTTCACTGGAGAATTTTACCAAATATTCAGGGAAGAGTTGACACCTATGCTACTCAAGCTATTCCAGAGCATAGTTAGGTCACATATCATCTTAAACTTTGACCTGGTGGTAGTAGCCATGTTCTTCCGGCATAGCATAAGGGACTCCATGTTGGATTTAGCTTTCCCATCCACATTAAACCCCCTGCCATCCAGTCAATTCCGACTCACAGCAACCCTATAGGACAGAATAGAACTACCTCATAGGGTTCCCAAGGCTGTAAATCTTTATGGAAGCAGACTGCTTCACCTTTCTCCAGCCCAATGCTTTAACCACTGCATCACCAGAGCTCCTTACAGCTCCTTACATTAGTAAGAAATAATATGTAAAAAGAGAGCGAAAAGCAAATAAAGTAAAATGTTAACATTTCAGGAACTAGATGAATGGCCAAAACATTTCACTGTATTATTCTTGTAACTGTGATATGTTGGATTGAATTTTTCAAAATAAAAACTTAAAAAATCATGCAAGCTCCAGACCATTGCGGCTTCCAGACTATTTTAACTACAACCCACAATGAAAATTGGACAGAGCAACCCAGTACACACACATACATATGTGTATAATTTGAACAAATGCATATAAATCAAAAGTTTCACAAAACAATACATACCCTTATAATGTGATACTCTATGACTTTTCTACTCTAGTCTAGTACATATTTTTAAATGCTGGTTGTGACTCATTAAATTGAGGTCATGTCCACCAATGGTTATAATCCTTTTGAAAACTCCTGTCCTCGGTGGTGCTTTACTGCAACATTTTTAATACTAAACCTAGATTCACAGAAGTACCATCCCCAGCTCCCTGAATCCACGTGAGCTTTGAAAAAAACACCTCTTCAAATACAGAGAGGAACTCAAAACATTAAGGTTGCAGCTTTCTAGAATTTTGACAAATGCAGTCATCATTTGCACGTGGTACAGAGAACAGCTTGAGCACATAGTTAGCAGACATATGGCACTCATGATCCATCATGAACGTGGGCCTGATGTTCCCAGCTCAGAGTGGTTCTGCTGCTAATTATAGAGGCAGGCACCGAGGATACAGCCTGCAAAGTCTGCCCCTGTGGCCAGTAACTGAGCCAGAAGAGCCTGGTCCTGAGACGGACAGCATTGTACAGCTCACTCATTTCCATTGTAACCCTGAGAACAGCTGGCTTGTCTGCATCCCTGGGATGGGATCTGGCAGCCCTGCCCTCCAACATAGCCCACCCAGAGGACATGCACGCTTGCTGCAGGTACTGGTCTACATTGGCTCTGGCAGTCAGGATTCCATGGCCAACTTCCACCCCCTGCTAAGTTATAGGCTGCCTCCTTCCCT